CTTCAAGACTTTTATCCATAGCCCTGCAAGAAGAAAGGAAAGATAGCTACAAAAATATGTAGTGACTCCAAGTACTCCAACATAATAAGTTAGCGTGGTAATTTGAGAATAGTAGCTATGGTAGCTATTTTTCAAGGTGACCTTCAGTGATTCCTGTTTCCTAATACACATCTTTACATAGTTTCCTTTCATATTTTAGCAGGATGACTCTGACCAATAGAATATAGTTGTGAAAAGGTAGCTTCCATGTTGTCACTCCTTTGGGTCACTTCCCAAAAGTTGAAACCAGCTGTTTATCAGGCTTTCAGCCTGTAATTTTTCCTGTAGTCTAACATTTAGACAACACTACAGCCTCATGAAAGATTTTAAGCCAGAATCAACCCCAGCGAAGCTGCTACCAAATTCCTGACTCATACAAACTAAGATAGTGGGACCAGTGTTATGGCATACCAGGTTAAGCCTCCGTCTGTGACACTGGCGTCCCATATGGGCACTGTTTTGAGTCCCTATTGCTCCACTTCCAGTCTAGCTCCCTGCTAATGTGCCTGGAAAAGCAGCAGAAGATGCCCCAAGTACTTGGGCCCCTGCACCCACATAGGAGACCCAGGTGAAGCTCCCTGATTTTGGCCTGGCCCAACCCTGGCTCTTGCCGCCGTTTGGAAGTGAACCACCAGACAGAATTAATTCCTCTGTCCTCTCCGTATAACTCTGCTTTTCAAATAAAATAAATCTTAAAAAATAAAAAACGAAGCAAGTTTTTATTTTTAACTGCTTCTAATGATTTATTATGCAATAATGGATAATTAATATATTGACTTAAGCTGGAATGAGTATGAATCCCATTTTGGATAAGTACAGCTTGTAGTGTTATCTGAAGGGATTAGGGTCCTGTGAATTCTTTTAATTAGCTAAAACCCCTTTCCAGGACAAAACCCTATATTGAGAAGAAAATAATGGGAACAGAATCCAAGCTGAGTAGGACAGGGAAAATAGAGATAAAGGGGAAATTCTCCAGATTAAAAAAAAAAAAACAGCCAGGAGGTTTCAGAAAGTAAGCTTTCATGTTTTTTTTTTTTTTTTTTAAGAAATTTATTTGAAAGGCAGAGTTACAGAGGCAGAGAGAGAGAGAGAGAGCGAGCTTCCAACAGCTAGTTCATTCTCCATATGGCCGCAGTGGCCGGAGCTGTGTCGATTTGAAGCCAGGAGACTCCTCTGGGTCTCCCATACAGGTGCAGGGGCCCAAGGATTTGGACCATCTTCCACTGCTTCCCCAGGCTACAGCAGAGAGCTGGATTGGAAGTGGAGCAGCTGGGACTCTAACTGGCCCCCATATGGGATGCCAGCACTGCAGGTGCTGGTTTTACCCACTACGCCACAGCGCCAGCCCTGCATGGTGTCTTTTTAAAAAATCATTTACATGGTGTAATACAATTGGTCTCCCATATTGAGAGTTTTACATCTTTAGATTTGATGATCAGAAATATTCAAAAAAGTTTGTATTGAATATGTACAAGTTTTCCCCAACCTTGTCATTCCTTAAAGAATACAATATAACATCTATTTATATAGCATAACATTGCATTAGGTATTATAAGTAATCTAGAGATTAAAGTATACAAGAGAATGTTTGTAAGTTAATAGGCAAATATGCTATTTTATATAAGGCACTTCATATCTGCTGATATGAGTGAGTGGAGGTCCTGGAACTAATTCCCTGTGGAGACTGGATGACTGTATGTACTTATTTGAAATGCATGCTTCACTGAATCCTCAGAAATGTGTATATTCATGCCACTGCTATAATCGAGAGCATTTCCATCACTGGCAAGGTTTTCCATTGACTCCGTTACAATTACTACTTCCGTCCTCATCATTGGCCCCTGGCAACCACTGATTTACTTTCTGTTGGGTTAGATTTTGAGCTGCTAGAGTGTTGAATGGTGATTGGAAAAATTATGCAATATAGCCATTAACTAGCAAAACGCTAAGTGAAATTATAGTCTCTAAAGGTTTAGGAAATTTATTTTAAAAAAAGCAAAAGGAGAGGATTGATGTCAAATTCCATGCAACGTTAGAAGAGAAAGAAAAGATAACAGAATAACATCCTTACAGAGAAAGCACCTCAAAAACACAAGCATTTAACTCTGGTCAAACTAGTCTTCAGTATAAAGGCTGTAGACTTAAGAACGAGAGAGAGAGTGTTCTGATGAACCCTTCCTGAAGAATCTTCTAGAGAACCAGCTTCAAGTAACCAATATGACCAAAGAGGATTTAACATGAAGAGTAATAAATATTTAAAATATTTCTGTATTATGGGGTGGACATTTGGCCTGATGGTTAAGATGTCCACGCCCCATATCTCAGTGCTTGGGTTCAAGTTTCAGCTCCACTCTCGATCCCAGCTTTCTGCTAATCCACATCCTGGGAGGCAGCAGGTGATGGCTTGAGTAGATCGGTTGCTGCTACTTGTGGGAGACCTGGATTGAGTTCTCATCTCGTGGCTTCAGCCTGGCCAAGCCCAGATGATTGCAGGCTTCTGGGAAGTGAACCAGTGATGGGAGCTTTGGGTTTGTCTCTCTGCCTCAAATAAATAATTTATAAAATATTTCTACATTTAGAACTAGGATTGAGAGACAATAAGATATAAGATTATGTCTTTATAGTCTGATAGTGTAGCTATCATAACTTTAAATGAGGGAAATATATATTTAAAAGTTTATTTTCAGCAATTATATAGACAGCTTTTGAGAATATCTTGCATGTAATGCAACTGTGAGACAAAAGAAGTATTTGTAGTATTCTAATTTAGGCATCTCTAGTACCTTGAAATCCAGAATCTACTTTTATATACATATGAAAGTAAGTACTCTTTAATCCTGAATTTGAACACAAAGCATTAAATGAGGTCATGAAGGTATTTTGCTTGAGTGTGTGTAAAAATATGTTCAAATTTTATAACATCTGCTGAAAAAGCCTACGAACACCAGTGAACCTAGTAACAACACATTTTCCCGGTGCTTAATTGGGGTCCTTAAATACCATTTCCCAGGGCTGTCATTGTGGCCTAGTGGGTTAAGCCACTGCCTGCAATACTGGCATCCTATTTGGGCGCCAGTTCAAGTCCTGGCTGCTCCACTTTCAATCTAGCTCCCTGCTAATGCAACTGGGAAAGCATCAGAGGATGGTCCCAATGCTTGGGCACCTGCCCACCATGTGGGAGACCCAGATGGAGTTACAGGCTCCTTGCTTCAGCCTGGCCCGCCCCTGGCTATTGCAGACATTTGGGGAGTGAACCAGTGGATGGAAGATTCTCTCTCTTTCTCTCCCCGCCAACTCTGCCTTTCAAATAAATAAATCTTTTTTTAAAAAAATTTCCTATGGCAGGGAAAAAAATCAGGGGTTTGTGGGAGACAGGACTCCAGACTGGGGGTAGAAAATATGCAAGGTGAAACATCTTGTCATATATGTAACTAAAGAAAGGTCAGAAAGACTGCTCATTTCTTGTCATGGGATTTGAGAGGGCCATATGGAAGCTCCTGTTGGTCAAAGGTGAGGTGATTTGAACATTGATAAAATAACGACAGTGGATTGAAACATAGGAGTATGTTTAAATTCATTAGTTCACAGTAACATAAAAACTTACTGGTCTGCTTGTGTTTTATATCTTTAAAACTGCCAAACGAGCGTTTTGTCTGCCTTTCGTAGATGAACTCTACCACTAGTTGATGAGGTTCAGCTTCTCTTTATAGAACTGTTCCAGCAAGCAAATGAGAAGGGTTTGGGAGAACTGAAATAACATTTTTCAGTCTCTTAATAAATGCAAGCATTGCGCATCAGTAGTTGCTTGTCACGATAGGAAAAGAGATAACTAACTAATTAGGCACTAAGTTGGCTCATCCAAGTTCCAAAAAATTTTATTTACAAAACTAGACACTGAGCCAAGATTTTGACCTCTACTCTGGATCCGGCTACCAATTTATGATACAGATGGCAGAAGAAACTACATTTTGTAGATGCAAATTTTAAAATCAAGACTGAGAAACTATGGGACAAATGGTTAGGATTCTTTCACAAATTGGAACAAAGGAAGTGATGGTGTGGGAACTACAGATTAGAAACTTTCAGACCTGGTCTTAACTGTACCATATCCTTAGGGAAACAGGTAACAAGACTGAAGAAATTTAAGATAACTTTGTAACTCTTGGGAGGAGGTGAAGTTGTCATTGAGAGGGTGGGAGTATCAAGAGCTTCAGAGGTAGCTGACCTTGCTGTCTTCTGGGGATTACAAAGGATGTGCACCTTTTAATTGGCTAAGCTATCCATTTATGCAGTTTCTACATTTGTGTATATTTTGCACTAACTTTGTAGAAGAAAGGGTAAAAGGAAAATGCTACCCCTCCAAAAGGCTTTTTGATGTAGAATGCATTACTAGAGGTAAAGATGCATTTTACAAGACCTAGATTTCTTAACCCTGGATAAGCCTAGTAAAACAGCAGAAGCTGACATATTAAAAGGAGAAATAAATGTAACCACAGTCAAAGTAGGAACCTTTGCAGAAACATTTACAGACAGGTTAAAAATTGAGTCTCTGATGATATAGTGTAGTATTTGAGAAACTTCTTTCTACAAAGTCATCTTATTTTTGCCCAGAAGTTTTTCTGTGGTTATTGGAAATGTTTAAATATTTCATTTTCATCTAGTCTTTAAACTTACAAGACAGTAATTTCTTACCAAATAATATAAGTAATGAAGTCTCATAAGTAAAAAATCACTGAAAAAATGAATATTTTTTCCTGATACTGAAGTTATACTTAACTTTGAACATTAATCACTGCTAGGCTTTTCCTACTATTGAAAATGTTTGGAGTGAATGAGATAGTTATAATCTCAATTCATAAGTAGATGAACTTCAGTGAGTTTCCAAACTGACTTTTAATTATTATTTATAAATGGTATATATTTTGCTGCCAGAAGTTAACCTTTCTTCCTTTTTTAAACAGGGGTTCAGAAGGAACATTAAATGACTGCGTGGTAATATTTGTAGATGAAATCTTCAAGATTGAGAAACCTGGAGCCCATCCTCTTTCATTTGCAGATGGAAAGTTTTTAAGTATGAATTTTTCTTTTGAACTTAGATTACGTGTATTATATGTGATTGAAATTGCTCTTAACTGACCTGTGAATAACTTGCAAGGAAGTATAAAACTGTAGATGACACTGTTTAATTTTCAAGACAACAGTTTTTATCTTAGGTCCTTATTAGTTTAGTAAATTTCTCTCAAATGATAAAATTTTATTCTCAAAAATATATTCTAATTTTAGCATTTTATTGCTATTTTCATACTATTTCCTCTAATACAAATTTTGTCTAAAGCGAAGACTTATTTCAGTAATTTTGTAACCATCAAGGATTAATTTTTAATACCAAAACTTACTTTTATTCTAGTGGAACCTGAGAATAGTAGTGCTGATTGCCCTTAAATTTTTGCCAAGTAACAAATGAGCTTTATTTATAGTTGTTAGAATGCAGCCCTATCTCTTCGTATAATAGATTCTATTTTTGTTTTTGCATAGTTGATTATAGAAGTAGGATTAGAGTCTAGGTCTTCTTCATTCATAGTTCAGTCTTTTCAAATACAGTCATATGTCACTTAATGGTGGGGATGTATATTCTGAAAAATGCTTTATTTGTGATTTCTTTGCTGTGGAAACATCATGTGCACTTAAACTAAGTGGCTACAGTATCACTAGGTGATATAACCTTATGAGACCTCTGTTGTATGTGTTATCCAATCACTGACCAAAACGTCCTTTTGTGGCACATGACTGTAGTTTGGTGTCTTATGCTCTCTTCTGAATTTTCTGAGAGCAGTCCATTTATTTATGCCATTTGTCAAGTCTAGTCTGGAAAAGAAATGCTTGAGACTAAAGGGTGCAGACTAACCTCTTCTTACCACAGTTTGGATATGATTAGAAAAAAATAAGAACATTAACAGATCAGTGAATAGATTTCCAGTCTAAGTTATTCTTTTTTTTTTTTTTGAGTCTGTAATCCTAATATATCTAGATTTGAATTAGAATAAAATGCAATAAAAAACTAAGATCACCTGAACTTTTCTGATGTCTTTCTTCTTTATCCTACCCTCGGAATACCTGCATAAATTAATTCTTTTCTCCTTTGCCTAATGCTAATCATGATGTAGTTATACCTTTGAATTTGAGTGTAAAGAAGTCATTTCAGGGCCAGACTGCCAGTAGTCAGATCACTCTCTAAATCAAAACTCTAAATGTGCCTTTGGAGTTTTGGGTCTGTTTTATTTTCATTGCTTATATGTTATCTTTGCTGTCTTGATGGAAGAAAACCACACTGTAATCTTATATTACAATATTAAGAAGAATAAGCAGCGATTTGTCAGAAAGTTATAGTGAAATTAGAGCCTTATCCTCAACTCTGCCCTTACTTGTCAGGCAGTGTTCTCATTTCCCTTAACATTGCTAGGTTAGCCCTTAAATGGTAAAATTCCTCACAGATCTATTTGTATATATTTGTAAGAAATTTGTAAAGTATAAAACTAAATTCAAGCAATATTGGACTATGAAGAGGCAATCATTTTAACAATGTTTTTTATTCCAGACATCTTTGTCTATATAATTCTTGTCTTGGTATATTTATAGAATGAACTTTGTTTTAAAAATATATCTGAATTTCCTTTTTAAAATTTAATATAGATACTTCTGCATTCTTATGAGTTTACCTTACTCTTCATAAAAATTTATCTGACTATTCACCTTTTAATATTTAATATTTGGTGTTACGAGCATTGCTGTAAAACATTTTTTGTGTACATGAACACAAAATGTTTTATATACAAAAATGCAAAAATGTTTTATATACATATATGTATATTTAAAAATTTTAAGAGAATACTTCAGCAAAATGTACCTGGTTATAAAGAGGCCAAAAAAAGGAACTTCTTATTTGCTGGAATGCTGAAGCAATTGACAGGCAGATAAAAATAAACTGTTACCAATAAAGAATAGGTTAGGACATATCTTGGGAGAATCAAAATGGGCTTGCTAGCTCCCAACAGCCCTCTCCCTCCTAGTTCTTCCAATACAGTTTAAGATTTTGATCTGCGAAAACAGGTAGACTTGCTTTGGTCCCTGTCTCTACTAGTTGGGGTGGACAGGGAGAGTAAAAATAAATCCCTCATGATTTCAACCTTTTAATTAGTTACCTAGAAAAGTAGCTGGATCCCACCAACTGGATAAATCACTGCACCTCCAGAAAGAAGTAATAAGAATCTCAGAATGTTTAGAGAAAATTCTCTTGGAAACCAGCAAAGTAGGAAAAAGGAATACCTTCCAACAGAAGAAATCTTTAAGATGTTCTGGATATTGTCAAATGGCCTTTGAAATGTTTATCAGTTTTCATTTTCACCAACAATGTGCCACTTTCTCCATATCCTTATCAATACTGAACATTTATTTATCCTAATCTAATAGTCAGAGGCCTTAAGGGTTACCTTGTATCTCTTTGAATGGAATTAAACATCTCACAATGTCTTGCCCAGAGTTTCTTAAACTTTGATTCTTTGAGCCATTAATATCTCAGTAACTTTTTCATGGAACTTACAGAAAACTTATTAGAAAGTTGAGTCCAAACATCTTTGTTCAACAAATTACATTCCCCTTGAAATTTTAAGATATTTTGTGCTGCCCCGTTGAGTTCACTCTATCTCCCCTGGTTATCTTGGTATACATTTGAGGAACTGTGGGTCAATATACTTGTCTGAATATAATTTTTAAGGCAAAAGTACACATTATCCTCATATTTGCTGTTCACTAGATTTTTTGCTGGCTTATGCCTGGGTCCCATCCCTGAAATTCTCATTCAGTAATGAGAGGATGAGACTCAGGCATTTATTCTTAGTCTCACACTGCATTATTCCTTTTGGTTCCTTTTTTTCATTAAAAAAGCTATATGCTGTTTCCATGGGTTTTTCTTTATGAGATTCATAGATATAAAAATTATTTTAAGACAGGGCTTGCTATAATTTTGTTCTTAATAGGGAAAAATGACCCTGAATGTGACCTGTGTGGTGGAGACCCAGATAAGAAATGCCGTACTTGCTCCTGTCATGTATGTGGTGGGAAACATGAACCCAACATGCAGCTTCTGTGTGATGAATGTAATATGGCCTATCATATTTACTGCCTGAATCCACCTTTGGATAAGGTCCCAGAAGAGGAATACTGGTATGATTATCAGGTTTTTTGTTCTTGTTATATTAAAATTGAATGTAAAGTATGTGTTGAACCACCGAAAAGTAGATTTCTAAAGATACATAGTTTATGTTGAAGTACTTAAAATGTTATAGCCAATGGTTACTTGGCATTAATATCTTTATTCGATTACTATAATTTCTAAACTCATCTTTAGCTTCATTTTTTAATTCCTTCATTCTCTTCTCCAATATGGAGTCTGTTTTCTTTTTGAAATGCAAATTTGATTGTTTTAATTGTTTGCTTCAAAGGCATTATGTTGCCTTATAAGACCTTGCATGATTTTAGTTGCTTCTCCAGCAATACCTCTTATCACTTTCCTTTTCCATTTCTTCAAATACTCTACACTCTTTCCAGAATAAATATCTTTAAATTCCTTATCTTGGAAATATTATCCTCTTGCGATTGACTTCAAGATGATATTCATCTGTCAGATTTTTTCTTAAACATGACTTCCTCTGGTAAGCCCTTATGGATATCCCTCTCTATCCTCCTACTATGTCAGATGTCCCTGTTAGATTCTGTAATAATACTTAGTAACTACATGGGTACTTCAGACCAATTTGTGGAATTAAAAGGTAAGTTTCTGTGGTATAAAATTTTTTGAAATTTCTGTATAATTTTTTCATAATATGTATTTTACATGCACAAATTTCAAAATTTTTATCTCTATTGCATTTTCTATGAACTGTTTGAAGTGCCCTTATGTTAGCTGTTTAGTTTATGCTAGACATTAACAAAGGACTTAATATTGATCATTGTATTTAATCTATAAAGTTGATAAGTAGAACAAGACTCCAAGGTCAAACATACTTGCCAAAGTCCATATTTCTTCTGTGAGTAGTGATAACTACAAAAAAAAAAAAAAAAAAAAAAAAAAAAAAGTGAGTTTAGAAGAGACTGGAAAATATGTGACCATTCAAAGTTACAATGGACTTTTTAGTTCCGTATTAAGAATTTTTTTTCTTTAAAACTTTGGGCCATACTGCTTTTACCAGTGACAGCTTTTAATTAAGAGGGATGACATTGTCAGAAATCTGATGGTACAGTGAGCAGTAGATACCAATATGAAAAACAGATTGCTCTGCATTCCTTTGGTCTCTTCTGGCCTGTTGGGAAAGTGATTCCTGTATTTTGACAGAAGCTGTAAGGGTGACTCATTCCTTTTTCCCTACTAGGACCTCACATGGCTGTACTTTGAATTTTACCAGCACTAGTAATGATATTTGTTTTAATGGGTGATATATTCCTGCTTCTCTAAAATGTAAATCCTTCCCCTTCTCTCACAGTTATATATACTTTCGCCTTCCTGGGAGTCTCACTCCTGCAGTTTATTCCCCTCGCAAATTGCCATTAAATATATCAGTTTACATTAATAACCCAGAATCTCTCTCTCTCTCTTTTTTTTAAAGATTTATTTTATTTATTTGAAAGACAGAGTTACAGAGAGAGGTAGAGACAGAGAGAGAGGTCTTCCAACCACTGGTTCACTCCCAGGTGGCTGCAATGGCCGGAGCTGCGCCAATCTGAGGCTGGGAGCCAGGAGCTTCTTGTGGTCTCCCACGTGGGTGCAGAGCCCAAGGACTTGGGCCATCTTCTGCTGCACTCCCAAGCCATAGCAGAGAGCTGGATTGGAAGAGGAGCAGCCGGGACTAGAACCAGTGCCCATATGGGATGCCAGCGCTTCAGGCCAGGACTTTAACCTCCTGCTGCACCACAGCGCTGGCCCCCAGAATCTCTTGAGTCAACACACACACACACACACACACAGCCCTCCCTCCCTTGATTCCATATTTTGCACTGCAGTCTGAATTTCCTTCCCATTACTCCACTATCTCTGCTTCTGTCAGGCTCACAGATACTTTGTGTTTCCAAACCCAGTTGTCATTTCTCAGTCCTCTCCTTACTCCATTGTTTACTCTGTGTTTTTATAGATTTTATTGTATTTTCCTGACTTTCTACCTTCATTGACTTTTCATTATTGGATTTTATATCATATGATCCTGATTTTCTCCTTACTATATTGGTCTTTCTTTCTTAGATTGTTGTTGTAGGTTTCTCCTCACCTATCAGAGATAAGGGTTCCCCTGAAACACTACTCCTTTTTAGGCTTGCTCTGTAGATTACTCATCAAATCATGAGACTTTGAACACCAAGCTACTGGTTCTGAATATGTGTCTTCAGTTCTAATCCTCCCTGAGGTTCATATTCCTATAACTGATTGCATACTTAACTGGCCTCACAAATTAGTCCAAAAGGAGGTTTTGGTTTCCACTGAGACTCCTTCTAAAATGTTGCTCCTTCCCCAATCTTCAGTAATTAGTGCTGTCATCTTATCCACTTGTTCATGCCAGAAAGCTAAATTTCATCCTTGATTCTTCCTTTACTCCTTCAAATATCTAATATTTCATATATTTCTTATATCTAATATTTCAGCAAATCTTGTCAGTTTTCCATAATCTTTCTCCAGTCTTATTCCCCATCCAAAACACCATTTCTTCCTGGAACTTCTGTAGTAGAAGCCTAGATAATCTCTTTGCTTCTATAATACTCAGCCTGCTACACTTCCTTCCATAGCAGCAGAATGATTTTATTAAGTACTGAATTGGCTCACTCACCTGTTTAAAGTTCCCTGATGTCTTCCTATTGCAAGAATAAAATCTAAACCCGTCCATGACCTGGCCCACATCTTCTCTCTCATTCTGTTGTTTTATCACTAGCCAGTTTACTGAGTAACCTTCACCTATACCCACCTTTATGTTCCTCAAAGCATAGCATTCATGTTTGTGTTTCAACACCTTCACATTTACTGTATCTTTGCCTAGAATGCTTTCCTTGGCTTGTTCACCGTATCTAAGACAAATACCATTTCCAGTAGTTCTTATTATATAACCCTGATGTATTTCCTTTATAGCACCTAGAACTTTATGAAATTCTTTCCTTGTATTTACTGGTTTTCTCTAGCTACTATCTACAAATATTTTAATCAGAAAAACTTATACTAAGCAGCAAATAATGCCTGCCACATTGGAGGTTCTGAACAAACCTGTTGAAGGAATGAATCCCAGGGATGACTATGATAATAGAAATAGAACACTGTCTTATATTATTCTGTTGAATATCTCAACTTTCCTATCAAGGTCCCTCACTTCACCTGGAACTCCCTAACCTTAATTGTTTCCATTTCTCCAAGTGATGTTGTCTGTATATCTAGTGTCTGAACTAATTTTCTCATTAGATAGTTAATACCTGCTTTAATCACAGGATCTGTGATAAAATTATAAAAGCAAGCACATCAGGGAAAATAGTCTTTCTTTAGAACAAATTAAATTTTACAAGTCTTCCTGATTGCCCAAATAGAAGGGATTTTAATTTATAGTTCCTAATGCCTTCTAAACACAATTTTCTCAAGATTGCAAACTTATTTACACTTATTCTCTGCAATAATGCTAAGCATGATCTCATGATTAGGCAGTCAGAATTGAATAGTGCACATTGGTGTCTTCTTTGCTCTAAATCCCACCAGGAATAGATAATTGGAATGAAAGAAAAACTTAATTGAGCAGTGGTAATTAGATCTTTGTTAGTATTCCCCAAGTTTCCATTCTTCAGTGACACCATAGCTCCATCTCATTCTGTAGACATTTTATTTATTTTTAATAAATCGTTTTATTATTATTTTATTTATTTGAAAGAGTTACAGAGAGAGGTAGAGAGAGAGAGGTCTTCTATCCACGGGTTCACCCCCCAGATGGCTGCAATGGCTGGAGCTGCGCTGATCTTAAGCCAGGAGCTTCTTTCAGGTCTCCCACGTGGGTGCAGGGGCCCAAGGACTTGGGCCATCTTCCACTGCTTTCCCAGGCCATAGCAGAGAGCTGGATTGGAAGAGGAGCAGCCGGGAATAGAACCAGCACCCATTTGGGATGCCGGTGCTTTAACCCACTGTGTCACAGCGCTAGCCGCAATCTGTAGACATTTTTAGAAAAGATTTGAGTCAGTTTTTTTTTTTTTTTTTAATTTTTTGCCTGGCAGAGTTAGTGAAAGAGTTATAGACAGAGAGAGACAGAGAGAAACAGAAAGGTCTTCCTTCCGTTGGTTCACTCCCCTAATGGCCACTGCGGCCGGTGCTGCGCCAATCCGAAGCCAGGAGCTGGGTACTTCCTCCCCATCTCCCATGCGGGTGCAGGGACCCAAGCACTTGGGCCATCCTCCGCTGCCCTTCTGGGCCACAGCAGAGAGCTGGACTGGAAGAGGAGCAACCGGAACTAGAACCCCGGGTGCTGGCGCCATAGGCGGAGGACCAGCCAAGTGAGCCACGGCACCGGCCTAAGTCAGTTTTAGATATACAGGTTACAGTAGAGTGATCAGCTACAAATAGGCTAAAGAACAAACAAGTGTAGGTAATTAAAATTGACCCAGGAATCAGCCTAATGTAAACAAACTTTTTTGAAGCACTGTATATTTATTATAGTTGACTATACTTTTTTTTACTCGTAGAATTCTTTTTTTTTTTTTTTTTTTTTTTGACGGGCAGAGTGGACAGTGAGAGAGACAGAGAGAAAGGTCTTCCTTTTTTTGTTGGTTCACTACCCAGTAGCTGCTGCGGCTAGCGCACCACGCTGATCTGAAGCCAGGAGCCAGGTGCTTCTCCTGGTCTCCCATGCAGGTGCAGGGTCCAAGCACTTGGTCCATCCTCCACTGCACTCCCGGGCCACAGCAGAGAGCTGGACTGGAAGAGGAGCAACCGGGATAGAATCCGGTGCCCCAACCAGGACTAGAACCCGGGGTGCCAGCACTGCAGATGGAGGATTAGCCTAGTGAGCCACGGCGCTGGCCACTCGAAGAATTCTAATAACAAATTTAGATGGGGAGGTGAAGCCAATGCATTTCATTGTTTGGTCTAGGAGCATTTATTTTACGTTTTTTTTTAACAGGCAGAGTGGATAGTGAGAGAGACAGACAGAGAGAAAGGTCTTCCTTTTTGCCGTTGGTTCACCCTCCAATGGCCGCCGCAGCTGGCACGCTGTGGCCGGAGCACCGCGCTGATCCTAAGCCAGGAGCCAGGTGCTTCTCCTGGTCTTCCATGGGGTGCAGGGCCCAAGCACCTGGGCCATCCTCCACTGCACTCCCTGGCCACAGCAGAGAGCTGGCCTGGAAGAGGGGCAACCGGGACAGAATCCGGTGCCCCAACCAGGACTAGAACCCGGTGTGCCGGCGCCGCAAGGCGGAGGATTAGCCTATTGAGCCCCGGCGCCGGCTTTTACTTTTGTTTTTAATAAGAACTTCAAGTGAATAATTTGTATTCTCAGGGTTAATGGTAAAGTTAGAGTTCATGGAACCATTTGAATATCACAGTATTGAGTATTTATAGTATTAAATATTAAAGTTCCCTAAAGGGATGACAAGAATTTTTTTACAGCCAGTCTAATCATATAAATATTTTGAAGTTTAATACTTGAATGCTAGCTTATGCTCTGTAATAGAATTGAAGTAACACATATTAAAACTAGTTCTTACCTAGAAAGGCCTTTATTCTGTAATGGGTCTTAATATGGTAGTGTCAAAATTAATTTTTTTTTCTTTCCTCTTAAAGGTATTGTCCTTCCTGTAAAACTGATTCCAGTGAGGTTGTAAAAGCTGGTGAAAAACTCAAGATGAGTAAAAAGAAAGCCAAGATGCCATCAGCTAGTACTGAAAGCCGGAGAGACTGGGGCAGGGTAAAAAAGAAATTCCCTTTATTTTTTTTCCTACCAGCAAGCTCTGTTAATGTTTCAGTACAAGTAGTGGTTATGGTATAAAAAAAGATTTAGCAATGTAATTGTTCCTTAATACCAGTGATAACTAAAATTACATGATAATAAGGGACTTACATGAATAGCTGTACTCATGTCTTGTGGGATTTAACAGCTTTCATTAAGATTTATAATAAGGAATTTCTCAAACAGCTTGTTTTGTGACTTATAGGGAATGGCTTGTGTTGGTCGTACAAAAGAATGTACTATTGTCCCTTCTAATCATTATGGACCTATTCCTGGTATTCCTGTTGGATCAACTTGGAGATTTAGAGTTCAGGTATGTTTTTAAATTGCTATAGTTAGAAGGGTAAAATTTAGTATAGTTCAAATTGAAGCATTGCTAATGTCTGTTGATTATAAGGTGGATATCAGTAGCACAGAGGAAGTATATTACAGAAATTTTACTGTGATTTACATTCCAGCTTTACTGTTCCTTTACAGTTATGGTAGTTAGCATTATTAAACCTTCTAAAGAAATTTGCTTTCCAAAAATTGCATGTTTAAAGCATTAAGTGTTTTCTTTAAATCATACTGTAAATTCTCCATGTCATCAAACTTCCCTCAGGTGTTTTTCTTGGGAGCAGAGTGTGGGATGTCCATCCCCTTACATATATGCTAGGATATGGGGCAGAAGGAAATGCCAGCTAATCCAAGAATAAAATTATTGCCCTTTTCCCTTTGAGGAAAGCTCTGTTTTATTTATTCTAGTTTATCCTTTAGAAAAATAATTTTTGGGCTAGCATTGTGGCTAAGCCTCCGTCTGCAACACTAGCATCTCATGTGGGCATTGGCTAGTGTGCTGGCTGCTCCTCTTCTGATCCAGCTCTCTGCTTATGGCCTGGGAAAGCAGCAGAAGATGGCCCAAGTGTTTGGGCCCCTGCACCACATGGGAGACCCAGAGGAAGCTCCTGCCTCCTGGCTTTGGATCTGCACAGCTCCAGCTGTTGCTGCCATTTGAGGAGTGAAGCAGCAAATGGAAGACCTTTGTCTGTCTGTCTCTCTCTTTCTGTAACTCTGCCTCTCAAATAAATAAATCAATCTTTAAAATAAAAAGATAATTTTATCATGGAAAACATTAATTTTTAAAAGATTTATTACTTGAGAAGCAGAGTTATAAAAAGAGAAAGAGCTGGGCTGATCCAAAGCCAGGAGCTGCTTCTTCGTCTTCCACATGGGTACAGGGTCCAAACACTTGGGCCATCTTCTTTTTAAAAAAAACAATATTTATTTATTTATTTTAAAGAGTTACAGAGAGGCAGAGATAGTGAGAGATAGAGAGGTCTTCCATCCGCTGCTTCAATCCCCAGATGGCCACAATGGCCGGAGTTGCGCGGATCGGAAGCCAGGAGCCAAGAGCTTCTTCCAGGTCTCCCATGCAGGTGCAGGAGCCCAGGCTTTCCCAAGCCATAGCAGAGAGCTGTATCAGAGGTGAAGCAGTCGGGACTCCAGCTGGAGCTCATATGGGATGCCTGCACCACAGGTGGAGACTTAACCTACCATGCTACAGCGCTGCCCCTACCCTGGAAAACTCAATGTGGGTGAAAAACAAAATCTGTTGAGTAGAACAGTTTCTACTTAGAGATGCCTCGGATTCTAAATATAAATTGAGACTTTAATCCTGGTACTTAGATCTTTGATATAATTTTAAAATTAAGATATTATAATACATATTGAAAGTTAGGTTCTAGTATGTGATTTGTTGTGTTTTTTTGTTTGTTTGTTTGTTTGTTTTGACAGGCATAGTGGACAGTGAGAGAGAGAGAGAGAGAGAGAAAGGTCTTCCTTTGCCGTTGGTTCACCCTCCAATGGCTGCCGTGGCCGGCAAACTGCGCCTATCCGAAGCCAGGAGCCAGGTGCTTCTCCTGGTCTCCCATGCAGGTGCAGGGCCCAAGCACTTGGGCCATCCTCCACTGCCTTCCCGGGCCACAGCAGAGAGCTGGCCTGGAAGAGGGGCAACCGGGACAGAATCCGGCGCCCCAACCGGGACTAGAACCTGGTGTGCCGGTGCCGCAAGGCGGAGGATTAGCCTATTGAGCCCCGGCGCTGGCCAATTTGTAGTTTTAAAGGCAACCTTACATTTCATTTCATTTTCTGTTTCTCTGAGATAATCACTTTAATTCTCTTATTCTTTAAGTTATTTACTCTGGATTTACCTATTTCTAAAAAGAAAAAAAGTTCATACTTCTTTTTTCATATTTTAGTTTTATTAACTTCCTTGCGAACAATTACTTTAATACTCCCTGGGTCCTCATTATTGCAGTAGTTGTATCATAATTTTGACTGAATCAGTATTCAAGGTTTGCATTATTATGAGTTTGGATCTATAAATAAAATACTATAATATTATGAAAACTAATACTATACTTAGTGTATTTTTAATGGACTTATCTTTTGTTTGCTTCGTTTTCTGTATACCAGACACTAATTCATGACTAAATTCTAAAAGCCTCCTTACTTGAAATAGTCGAAGATGACTATGAGGTCGTTGACCTGAGCAACTGATAAGATGGAGTTCCCATTTCAGGACTGGAAAAGATTCTGAAGAACTAATTTGTTTTTATCAGAGTTGATGAGGTAGAGAAATCAAGTAGCCATGTCTTTTGCTGAAGAGTCTGGTGTTTCCAAGGCCTAAACCTTTCCAGGTTCTGTTACTCGTATCAATTTCTCATTGACTTCCATAGTACTTTCTTTTCCCAAGTCACTTGGGTAAGCTTGAATTTCAGCTTCCTTTACTCTGCTAACAACTGGATGATAAACAAATGGATCACAGTACCTTTCATGAAGTTGGAATTTCACAAGAAAGTGACACTTGTTTCAGTGAGGCAGAATTGAGGCTATTTGGACCATTGTAGTGGAATAGCATGAGTACCTAGAAATAGATAGTGTATTTGGGTAGTGTTGAGTATTTTGACTCAAGTGTATAGGGCAATGAAAGACAAACTGGAGATAAGAGCTAATAGATAAGAGCCAGATCGAGATTGAGAGAAATTAACATATAATGCTTAACAATCCAAGACCATATGATGCCAATTGAAAATCTAAAGCACAATTGTTCTTAAAAGGGTTTCTGTTTGTAACACATGAAATGGGTTTGAAGGAACAAAACAGGAGGCAGTGAAATAGGCCTATTGTAAGCATTCATGACTTGTACTAAGATTAAGCAGTGGAAGTAGAAAAAGATGGATTTGGCCAGTGCTGCTTCTCACTTGGCTAATCCTCCACCTGCAGTGCTGGCACCCCGGGTTCTAGTCCTGGTTGGGGCACCAGATTCTATCCGTGTTGCTCCTCTTCCAGTCCAGCTCTCTGCTGTGGCCCAGGAAGGCAGTGGAGGATGGCCCAAGTGCATGGGCCCTGCACCCGCATGGGAGACCAGGAGGAAGCACCTGGCTCCTGGCTTCAGATCAGCATGGTGTGCTGGCTGCAGCAGCTATTAGGGGATGAACCAACAGAAAAAGGAAGACCTTTCTCTCTGTCTCTCTCACTGTCCACTCTGCCTGTCAAAAAAAAAAAAAAAAAAAAGAAGAAAAAGATGGATTTGAGACTTAGGAGGTAGAATTATCAGTCTTTGTGACAGATAGGCTTGAGGAATAAGAGAGAAGAATGGGACTACAATGACTCCTGCAGTTTTGCCTTGCCTAAGTGATTAGGGAAAAGGGCCATAATCAAAGACAAGCAATAAGAAGAGCAAAGAGATTTGAACCTCTGGAATCTTCTAATGATTTTTGCTGGAAATTCCAATAGATACAAAATGTTGATTACTTGATAGTTACTGTGAAACTCAAAAATCTAGGCCTTAAACAGTCTTGGAATTATTAGCTCCATTACCTAGAGAATATGTTTGAAGAATACTAAAATGAGAGAACAAAAAGAGAACTCTTGATGGGACTTAGTTCTTGGTTTTTTAGGGTTCAGTAATATATGTAAAATAAATGTAACTTTACTGTTAAGAGGTATTTTGAGACTCTGTTTTCTTATTTTATAGGTGAGCGAAGCAGGTGTTCACAGACCCCATGTTGGTGGAATTCATGGTCGCAGTAATGATGGGGCTTATTCTCTTGTCCTGGCTGGTGGATTTGCAGATGAAGTAGTAAGTCATGATACAACTTTGTTCAGTAGAACCTATGTTGATCTTTCAAATACAAATGTTTTGTTTAGGATACATCAAATACTATTATCTCTTTGTAGTTTAGTTTTATGCTAAAGTGATTCTTAAAAGAGATGAGTTTTGTACAAGTCATAAGGTAAATCAGTTTGTAGTGTCTAATCTTTACATATGCTGATTTGACTTATATGTACATTTGGTAACTTTTAAGGAAAATACAATTGCTATAGAATTCATTTTTTAACAATTAAACTTATTTTGATATAATTTATATTGATATGTAGCATTAGAAATAAAAGACAGTTGTTTGCCCTTTTCTCAGTTTCTCCAAATATTGATATCTTTTAAAACTTCAACTAGTACAGGATCACAGTCACAACTAGAATATTGATGTTGATACAGCCAAGATGCTGAATATTTCTGTTATCACAATTTCTGTCATCATGTTGCCCTGTTGTAGTTGTATTCCCCATTCTCTGCCTCTAACCACACATTAATCCCTGACATTTCTGTAATTTTATCATTTCAAGAATTTTCAGAATATTTATTTTTATTTATTTGTGAAAGAGACAGGGAGATCTTCCATTCACTGGTTTCCTCTCCAAGTGCCCAAAGTAGCCTGGGTTAGGCCAGGACCAAAATCATGAGCCCAGGGCTCAATCCATGTCTCTGATCTGAGTAGAAGGGACCCAAGTACTTAGGCTATTATGTGCTGCCTCCCAGAGTGTGCATTAGCAGGAAGCTGGAAAAAGGAGCAGAGCCAAGACTTGAACCAGGTTCCCTAGTATGAAATGTAGGTTTCCCACGCAGCATCTTAATTACTGTGCCCAATACCTGCCGCTGAAGGATTTTTATAAATGGAGTCATATAATATGTAACCTTTGAAACTGAGTTTCTTCACTCAGCATGATCCTCTGAGATTGCAGCATGAATCAGTAGTTCATTCTTTTTTATTGTTGACTACTAGTCATGGTATTGATGTACCACCATTTTGAGCTTTTTTTAAAAAATAATTTATTTTGTTTAAGTAGTATAACATTATGCATTTAATATATACAGTTTAGGAACATGATGCTTCTTCCCCTTGCCTGTCTCCCTCCCATCCATACTCCCAGCCTCCATATTCCTCCCTCTTCCCTTCCCATTCTTATTTTTTACAAAGATCAATTTTCAGTTAATTGTTATGCTCAGAAGATTATCCCTACACCAAATAGAGAATTCACTGATAAGTATGAATGAAAAGAAAAAAAAAAAAAGAAAAGGACAAAAACAAGTAAACAGACAAGGAAAACATTGTACCCTACAGTCAAGGCTAGGGCTGCTCAAAATCATCACATCTCACAAAGTGTCAGTTTCACTCCTATAGTTTACATTTTGAGTATTCCATTAATTACCACAGATCAGAGACCAAATGATATTTGTCCTTTTTTACTGGCTTATTTCACTGAATATAATGGGTTCTGTTTGCATCCATTTTGTTGTAAATGACAAGATTTCATTTTTTTTACCACTGTGTAGTATTCCATAGTGTTTATATACCATGATTTCTTTATCCAGTCTTCAGTTGATGGACATCTGGGTTGATTCCATATCTTAGCTATTGTAAATTGAGCTGAAATGAACATGAGAGTACAGATAACTCTTTCAGATGCTGATTTCATTTCCTTTGGGTAAATTCCAAGGAGTAGGATGGCTGGGTCATACGGTAAGTCTATATTCTGCTTTCTGAGGATCTCCATACCATCTTCCACAGTGGCTATACCACTTTACATTCCCAGCAACGATGGATTAAGGTGCCCTTCTCCCCATATCCTCGCCAGCATTTGTTGTTTGTTGGTTTCTGTATGGGAGCCATTCTAATGGGAGAGAGGTAAAACCTCATTGTGGTTTTGAGTTTCATTTCCCTAATGGCCAGCAATCTTGAGCATTTTTCGTTTGTCTGTTAGCCATTTGAATTTCATCTGTTGAAAATTATCTGTTCTGTTCCTTTGCCCATTTCTTAATTGGATTGTTTGCTGTGTTGTTTATTTCTTGAGCTCTTTATACATTCTGGAAGTTCATCCTTTGTCAGTTACATTGTTTGCAAATATTTTCTCCCATCCAGTTGTTGCCTTTTCAATTTACTGAGTGTTTCTTTTGCAGTGCAGAAGCTTCTTGGTTTGATGTAGTCCCACTTGTTAATTTTGGCTTTGATTGCTTGTGGTTCTGGAGTTTTTTCTAAGAAGTCTTTCCCTATGCCAGTGTCTTGTAGGGTTTCCTCAGTGTTCCATTTTGAGTGGATTTTTGTGTAGATGTGGGGTAGGGATTTTGTTTCATACTTCTGCATGTGGATATCCAGTTTTTCCAGCACTCTTTGTTGAAGGTGCTATCTTGGCTCCAGGAATTGATTTTAGCTCCTTTGTCAAAGATAAGTTGGTTGTAGATGCATGGATTTATTTCTAGGGTTTCTGTTCTGCGTCATTGGTCTATACATCTGTTTTTATGCCAGTAATAGGCTGATTTGATTATGAGGTCTGGTATTGTGATGCCTCTAGCTTTGTTTTTGTTGTTTCAGATTACTTTAGCTGTTTGGGGGTCTCTTGTGTTTCCACACAAATTTTTTTAAAGATTTATTTATTTATTTGAAAGAGTTACACAGAGAGAAGGAGAGGCAAAGAGACAGAGAGAGGAGTCTTCCATTCACTGGTTCACTCCCCAGTTGGCAGCAACGGCCGGAGCTGAGCCAATCTGAAGTCAGGAGCCAAGAGCTTCTTCCAGGTCTCCCATGTGGGTTCAGGGGCCCAAGGACTTAGACCATCTTCTACTGCTTTCCCAGGCCATTGCAGAGAGCTGGATCAGAAGGAGAGCAGCCAGGATACAAACCAACACTGATATGGGATGACAGCACTACAGGTGGTGGCTTTACCTGCTACACCACAGTGCCAGCCCCTCCGTATGAATTTTAGCATCATTTTTTTCTACATCTGAGAAGAATGTCCTTGATATTTTGATTGGTATTGCATTGAATCTATAAATTGCTTTTGGTAGTATGGACATTTTGAAGATATTGATATTTCCAAACCATGAACATGGAAGATTTTTCCACTTTTTTATGCCTTTTTCTCTTTCTTTATTTAATGTTTTATAATTTTCATCAAAGAGATCTTTGATGTCCTTGGTTAAGTTTATTCCAAGGTATTTAAATTTTTCTGTAGCTATTGTGAATGGGATTATTCTTAGACGTTCTTTCTCAGCTATGGCATTGTCTGTATATACAAAGGCTATTGATTTTTTTGTGTGTTGATTTTATATCCTGTTACTCTACCAAACTCTTATGAGTTCCAATAGTCTCTTCGTGGAGTCTTTTGGGTCCCCTATATGTAGAATCATGTCATCAGCATATAGGAATAGTTTGACTTCTTCATCACCTATTTGTACCTTTGATTTCTTTTTCTTGCCTGATGGCTCTTGATAAAACTTTCAGGATATATTAAATAGCAATGGTGAGAGTGGGCACCCTTGTCTTGTTCCAGATCTTAATGGGAATGCCTCCAATTTTTCCCCATTCAGTGGGATGCTGGCTATGGATTTGTTATAAATTGCTTTGATTATGTTAAGGAATGTTCTTCTATACCCAATTTGATTAAGGTTTTCATCATAAAAGGATGTTGAATTTTGTCAAATGCTTTCTCTGTATCTATTGAGGTAATCATATGGCTTTTGGTCTTCTGCTTGTTAATGTGGTTAATCATATTGATTTTCGATGTTGAACCATCCCTGAATACCAGGGGATAAATCCCACTTAGTGTGGGTGAATGATCTTTCGAATGTGTTGTTGGATTCATTTGGCTAGTATTTTGCTGAGGATTTTTGCATCTGTATTCACCAGGGGTATTGGTCTATAGTTCTCTTTTTCTGGTTTAGGAATTAAGGTGATGCAGGCTTCATAGAAGTCATTTGGTAGGATTACCTCCCTTTCAATTGTTTAGATAGCTTGAGAAGAATTAGAATTAGTTCTTCTGGCGCCGCGGCTCACTAGGCTAATCCTCCGCCTTGTGGCGCCAGCACACTGGGTTCTAGTCCCAGTCGGGGCACCGGATTCTTTCCCGGTTGCCCCTCTTCCAGTCCAGCTCTCTGCTGTGGCCCGGGAGTGCAGTGGAGGATGGCCCAGGTGCTTGGGCCCTGCACCCCATGGAAGACCAGGAGAAGCACCTGGCTCCTGGCTTCGGATAGGCGCAGTTTGCCGGCCACGGCAGCCATTGGAGGGTGAACCAATGGCAACGGAGGACCTTTCTCTCTCTCTCTCTCTCTCTCTCTCACTGTCCACTCTGCCTGTCAAAAAAAAAAAAAAAAAAGACTTAGTTCTTCTTTAAATGTCTGGTAGAATTCAGCTGTAAAGCTGTCAGGATCTATGCTTTTCTTTTTTGGAAGGGTCTTTATTACTGATTCAATCTTCATTTTGGTTATTGGTCTGTTTAGGTGTTCTGTGTCTTCATGACTCAATTTAGGTAGATTGTGTGTATCTAGGAATGTATCCATTTCTTCTAGGTTTCCCATTTTGTTGGCATATAGCTTTGTCATAATTCCTGATTTTTTTTATTTATGTGATATTTGTTGTTACGTTTCCTTTTTCATCTCTGATTCTGGTTTTTTTTTAAGATTTTATTTTATTTATTTGAGAGGTAGAGTTACAGACAGTGAGAGAAACAGAGAGAAAGGTCTTCAGTTGGTTTACTCCCCAGGTGACTGCAACAGCTGGAGCTGTCCCAATCCGAAGCCAGGAGCCAGGTGCTTCTTCTGGGTCTCCCATGCCGGGATAGGAGCCCAAGCACTTAGGCCATTTTCCGCTGCTTTCCCAGGCCACAGCAAAGAGCTGGATTGGAAGAGGGGCGCTGGGACTAGAACCGGCGCTCATATGGGATGCTGGCACCGTAGGCGGAGGATTGACCTACGCGCCATGGCTCTGGCCCTCTGATTCTGTTGATTTGGGTCTTCTCCCTCCCTCT